AGATTGGACAGAAAGTCTGACATTGTCACGTTCATACGCTGCGTCACCAGCCCATGTCATCCTGTGGTTGGAGCTTGGCAATAGCAGCAGAGGAAGTGAAGGAAGCCATTCAGCCCATGTTGCTCACGCTTCCAAAAACGGAGCAATCAAAGTTGAAGCAAGAGGAGTGTTTAAGGTCTTTTATTGCTGGCAAAGCTTCGTAGCATTGCTTCCTTCGCAATCTAGTTGGCGCACTCGTGCTTCACGTCTCGGCCAAACATTAGCGGTCGGGTAGAATCAGCAATTTAAAAAAAATGGCTTCCCAATTAGGACTGAAACACAAGAATTCAGTGATAGGCAACTCAATACATTTCACTTATTGTGAATTAAACCCATATGCATTCTCATATATAGTCAGGTTTGTTCCTTATTACAAACCTTGACTTGTCACATCACTAAAGTCTAATTTTTGTGCTCTGATCCATTCAGGCTGCTGATCTCGGCTGTCCTGAGTACCAACTGCTGGATGGACAAACAGGAGCAACATGAACACATCTGTTGACACCCAGTGAAACCTTAAAGCCGGCTACTTGGTGGGAATTACCCTGGACCACACACAGACCAAAAACACACCAGTGATGGGACTAATGCCACGCTTTCACAGAGCATCTTCAGTCCTGCAGTGCGGCACAGGGTCATGGGACTACATGTTATTGACTCTTCACCTTATAACCCCTGTGACGTGGGTGTAATACTAGAAGACTGAGACATGATGTAGAAGAGATGCACAGCAACCACAAATACCTAAAAATATGCTCCCCAAAATAAAATAAAATGCTAGTCGATGCCAGAGACTGTGAACATTGACTATCTGCTTTAGTTTCACAAAGCAGGTCATGCAAGACGCATGCAGCAGAGTTAGGTGGAGATCCTGCTGAGGCAAGGAAGAGGAAGGGAGGAGTAGGGAGAGAAAGAGGAAGATAAGGAGGAAGAGGAAGAAAAAGTGCATTCTAATCATCATAAATCTACTCTGCTGACAGCAGGAAGCACACAATATGAAGTTGCTTATTCCAAACAAGAATCTTCATGTAGCCTTGGTCATTTACACATCCATTTTTGACTGATTGTTCTACATTTCCAGACTTTTGTTTGTCAAAATGTAATTCTACACTGTTCACAGAGTTGTGTAGTAACTAGTTACATTTATTTCAGCAAAAAAAAAAGGTAAATAGTTATTATAATAAGTATTTTTACCACACTGTACATTTTACTTTTACTTCAGTAATTTTATTATGAAATTTCTACTCTTGCTTGAGTAAAATGTCTGGGTTCTTTACCCACCATGAGTAACTTCACCGAATGAAGAACAAACATGTTTTAACCAAAATAAATTCACCAGACACACCTGCAGTTTTTGTTTAAGTTTTTGTTTAAGTTTCATTAGTTCGACCTGCCCTTTGTTCAGAAAACCAGTAAAGAGATTTTAGGGTCCTTTATTGCATTGGCTGAATCCTTTCTTCTGTGGTGAGCTGTAATCACTGATTATATGCACATTGTTTCCAGCTGAGGCAAGAAGACTGAGGAAGGCTGATGACTCAACGATTCTCAGACGCTCACCGATGCTGTTCCCTTCCTGAGACCCGAGGAATTCAGCCATTCCAAATTAGGGCAGTAGTTTCTTATTTAGCCCAAAGACAACTGACCCACATCTTTGAGTCTGAGCAGCAGAACATAAACAGGGAGGCTATTAAAGCTCACATGAATAATAGATGAAACAAAAACTGAGAAACGGAGAAACAGAGAAAAACTGTTCAAGTGAAAGGCTTTGAACAAAGACCATGTAATAATGTTGATACTATACTACACCACACTATTGCTACACTATTCTATGCCATACTATACACTATGCCATTTTACATTACACAATAATGTACAACATTATATTATGCTATGCTATATTACACCAATACATAACCGTATACCGTACTAAAATATACTATTCGTTTCTGCATTGTGCTGTGTTACATTAAACTGCTATGTTACACCTCTACTATTTTATACTATACTATTTTGTACTATATTACATTAGACTATATAACACTATTCTATAATACATTCCCAGTACTGTACATGTTGGACCTGCGTTGTTATAGCAACTTAGTGCAAAATCATCTGTTTTATGTTTTCTCATTATTAAGAAACATTTATAAAAATAAATGGTTTTGTTTTAATAAAATTATGTACATCAAGGTACAAATACTGATGCTGCATCAGTGCAGAGATCTCACTACACTATAGAAAGCCCAATAAAAAAAACTGTCTGGATCTCTAAGGTATTCAGAAAAATCCTTAAGGACATAAAAAGTTAAAGTAACTACTGCTGTTTTCTAAATGTCTAAGTTGCACAATTAACCTTGATTCACTAGCAGCAGGAAAGGAGCAATAGGAGAGAGAAGGGTGAGAGATGCAGTAAATACCTCCAATCAAACTGTGTTGAGAACACCAGCCTCTGCATATGGTACACCTGCTCTGTCACTGAGCCAAGAGATACTCCATAAAATGATTCTATTTCAGTCACTTTACATACTTTACATTCAATACTCAACAGAAAGCTGCTATATAATCAAATGGTGTAAGACACCAAGGATATTGTGGTGTAAGACACAATATCCTTCTTCAGGATATTCTTGTGAATATTCTGAAGAAGCAACCTCTCCCCTGCCCAACACACAGACACACACACACACGCACACACACACCCACACACCCACACACACACACACCCACACGCACCCCCCCACACACACACACTCCCCCACCCACACACACACACCCACACACGCACACACACACCCCACACACACACACATACACACACACACACAATTTCAATATTCCGGTGTTTCCATTAAATAAGAAATGCATATAAAATCACAGGTGAATAAGTTTATTCAAGTTATGTTATTAAAATAATTTCCACACTATGATCCTCCAACTACTTCCTGTCATAGTCTTCTTCATGGTTTGTGCCAGTGGCAACATCCACAAGGACATGAAAAAGTTTATCCATTGCAGTTTTGCAAGATTTTTTGGTCACAAGTTCCAATGCAACCAAAAACTCCAAGGCATCATAGCACCAAAACTTTCTATTGAAAAATGAGTTTATTCGTTTGTCCATTGCTCAAACTTAGCTTCCATTCTGGAAATGGGTTTCCATCTCCATTTTAGCGCATCAAGTCTGTATCGCCATAAGCCAACCTAAAGAAACGCAAAAACGCTTTAGCAAAACTGAGAAGGTTAAGTGGAGTTTTGCTGAGTTTTTTGTTTTTTTTTTATCAAATATGTGATATTTCAAAATGTGCATAAAACCATTAATGGAAACAGGCCTTGTGAGGTTTCTTCTGTTTGCAGGTCCTGTAAGAAGAGTTGACTGTCTCAGTCTCAGATTTCTATTACTAAATACAATACTTCAATGTTTTTAAGAACTCTGAATAACTTTGATCTACAGACTGAATAGATTCGTTTCAAATCTTGTTTGGTATTCATAAATTATTGATTCTATTTGTGAATACCACCTCCCCCACCACAACCTCCCTCCACAAGGAGCAAGTTTAGTGGGTTTGTTGTTTTTTGGAGGCTTTGGAGGTTTATAGAGAAAAGCTTGACTAGACTACTTAAAAGGCAGCTGGAAGATACGGACTTAAAGTTTTATTGCGACATTTTGTGGTCGTATTGCCATAACAATAAAGTGACGATAAGAACTATTTACTACTTCTTTTTTGTAATGTACCGAATGGAAGAGAAATCATGGCCCCACAAATTCAGACACAACACTTTTGCAAAACCTCACTTTAGAAATATTCTTCTCTACGACACCATTCACGTAGAAACGTGTGATTTGTATCATTAAACTGCATGCAACAATTAGCTACCAGTGTTGATAGTTAATGTGTGTATGAATTTTCCTGGGGTGAGTGCTGAACCCAGTGGCCTGCTGCACATAGAGACTCACACACAGACAACAGGAGAAGCAGCAGACTGGGATCACGTCTGGCGGCTGCGCTCCCTCATGCCTTCTGTGCGTCCCTGCAGGGAAACCAGTGACGCTGCACTCTCACTGAGACGACACCCACACCCGCACACACACACACACACACACACACACACACACACACACACACACACACACACACACAGACACGCACACACACACACAAACACACACACACACACAGACACGCACACACACACAGAGACACGCACACAGTCCCTGTCTGCACCTCTCCTCTCCTAATGCTGATGTCCGGAGGTGATGTGCATGTATGGTTAACACGTGTGCGCCATGCAGAGGAGGAATCTGATCCTCAGAGCCTCTGAGGTAAATGGACTAATAGGCTCCTAAGGAGAGCCAGTGGCTGGACGCATGTGGGCCCCACCAAGAAAATGTAAGACATCATCACAAGATGTCAGACACTGGGCCTATGAATACATATATATATATATATATATATATATATATATATATATATATATATATATATATATATATATATATATATATATATATATATATATATATATATAGGTATATACATTTATCTGGGGTTTCCGGGCAGAATGGAGGTGTTTTAAAGATAACGTGTGAAAATGTTTGCGTTTGCATTTACATGCTTAGGCAGTTCTCAGGCAGAGTGTGTGTGTGTGTGGGTGTGTGTGTGTGTGTGTGTGTGTGTGTGTGTGTGTGTGTGTGTGTGTGTGTGTGTGTGTGTGTGTGGGATGGGGAGGGGGGTTGGTGCGGGGTTACACCAGCAGCAGCACCGCATCACTTTGGTAAAACCAATCCGTCATGATATCAAACAGTATATATATAGCCTATATATATATATAGGCTATATATATTCGTGCGTGTGACAGTGTAAGACGTCGGCTGCATTCAGATGGGGATGTTTTCCACCAGGCGCATCATCCGGAGCGCGGATCCAGTGACAAAGGTCTAAAATAAAAGCGGCGTGTATATTTACCTTCATGTCGTTCACTATCGCCTGGAATAGACCCCCGAGGGCCCCGCATTCCTTCTCCACTGTCTCCATGTTTGCCAAATCCACCATCGGGGGGGAATCTGATCGGGCGCACAGCAGCTGCGCGCGCCCAACACCCAGCGGGGGAAAAAAGAAAAAGGGGGGGACAAAAATATCCTTCTCTCCCCCCCCCCTTTAAAAAAAAAAAAAAAGACAGGAAAAAAAAAAAAGTGACGTTATTCCACTAAAACGCGGCGCCGGGATCCCCGGGTTTCTCCTTCACCTTCACACCGACTGACCGGTAAGAACGGAGGCTGCGGGGAGGAGAGGAGCGGAGGAAGAGGAGGAGGAGGAGGAGGGGTGAGGAAGGATGCCGAAACAACAAACGCGTTGCGCCTCGCGGTGTCCTTTAGGCTTGTTCCTTTCTTTTGTTTTTTTTTTTTTTTTTCTTTCTTTCTTTAACAGAGGAGAGGCGGTGTTCCTCCCTCTCCCTCTGCGCCTCGGTGCGGCTCCGGCTCGGTCAGGCGGCGGGCTGGTACCGTTCGGATGGTACCGAGGAGACCACGCTCATCTTGGCGCAGCCGGCGTTACGCAGAGAGAGTCGGAGGGGACGCATGTGAAGACAGCGCAGTTGGGAACTGGAGGGATGTGTCACAGAGCGTGCGTGTGCGTGCTTGCTGGCGCTTACGTGCGTGTGTGTGCGTGAGCGCGTGTTTCGTGGTTATGTATTTGAGGATGTGTGTGTGCTCGCGTGTGACGGCGGGTTGTGATTGGTGCAGAGGCGGTGGGCTCAGCGGAGCGGGGAGAGCAGCGAGTAATACGATCCATGAAACTGCAAGAGAGTAAAAAAGAAAAAAAAAAAAACAGGAATGGGGGGCGGAAGTTGGGGGATGCTGGGGGGGTCTGGACGATCGTGGATGACTTGTCACATGATTGTGGCCAGCTCGCACCCACACACACACACACACACACACACACACACACAAAAACACACCCCCCCCCACACACACACACACACACACACACACCACACACACACACACACACCCATACACATACACCTGATCTCCAGGAGAAAAGCCTTTTCGGGCTGTAGGCAGAGGTCCAGTGTTTCCAGTGTTTCACTCTGATTTGAATTCATAAACCATCACACAAAATTGTTCATCAGATTGTTTAAATTCCTTTGTTTCCGGGAGATCAGTGAGGTGAGACATCCCAAGGTCAAGGTGATAAGGTTGGTGTGAGTGATAGTGTCTCCTCTGTGGCAGCAACCTGGCTTCTTTCTGGGCCTTGGTTCTGTTTCTGATTCAGGCATTTTCTCGTCTAAACTTAAAACTTACGATGGCGTCGACATATTCAGGGCATTTGAACCAGCAGGAAAGTCGCCGCTTGTATTATTCTAATCGATCAATCAATTAATCGATCAATCACGGAAGTGCTCTTGTGTCACATCTTAACTCGTCCCTCAACGATGATGTCACTGAGGAGGACACAATCACAGAGAACAATATACACTGCTCAAAAAAATAAAGGGAACACTCAAATAACACATCCTAGATCTGAATGAATTAAATAAATATGAAAATAATTTCCACCTGTTGTCATATTATCAGAGATAATATGATGTCCTCTTTTTTTCCGGAGCTGTATATAAAACATCATTTTGTTGTGGCTGTCTATTAGAAATGTCTTAGAAACTATATTTTGGACTTTTTATTTTTTCTGTCCTAACATAAGAAGTAAACCTGTTCCCATGTAAAGTTTCTGGAACGTTGGTCACACTGCGGTGACATGAAGCCTGAACCGCCTGAGCGGAATTTTCTTGCTTCCTAGTTTGGCTTCAGGAAAAGAGATTTTGTCGTCACATGATAAGCTCATGATAATTTCAGAATGCGGCGTCTGGATGTAACCCTTTTCTGAAAACAGTTTCAGTTTCTTAAAAAAAAAAAAGAAGAAGAAGAAAAATCACTGAAAACATGAAGTCTTCTGCAAAGAAATTCCAGCCTTGTGAGTTCAACTGGAACAGCAGATCTCTGATATTTGTCTTGGAAGACTCAGACTTCAGTCGGCTTGTCCAAAATTAATAAAAATGACAAGCTTCCTTATGTTGATATCAACATACACCCTCATAACAGGACCAGGAATGTGTGTCATTCCTGGAATGACACACATTCTACACTCTCAGCTAATGCTAAATGTCCCCCATCCTGTGAGATAAATAAAAGGTCAGAACATAGCTACATCTGTGCGTGCATGATGCAATAAAGTATTTCCTTAACTTTGTTTTCTAACCTTTCCATCATCAGTTTCTTCAAAACCTGCCTGTATTTGTTTGTCCTGCAGAACGGATCGGTCTTACTTAGACTTTGCTGGACCTCAAGGAGTCAAGCTGAAGCTCTTTATCTCCCGCGAGTCCTTCCGTGTAAATGACTTTTAGCACTGTGGAAAGTAAACACACTTCAAAGAGTCATAAGATCAGTGGGTGTATTAACAGCTGTGTACGGTCAGGTGACCGATTCCAGACAGGTTCAAATCAATCTGATCAGGGTTTTTTTTCTGCGTTCCTAATAGTAGAGCTGATTTTGATCTGGAGAAGAGTCTCACTTAGCACTCTGTTTGTGCTCACACCAAAAACCTTTTTCTGGTTCATTTTTACTTCCTGTATGCTTGAAATAAAACAAAACTAACTTTTCATCAAGAAAGAAGCTGGTTTAAAATAAACATTTGCTTAACATTAACAAAAAAGTAAAAGTTCAAAGTGAAATGATCTGCTGGTGGAACTGATACTTCTTCATCAATATCAGGGAATTATTGATTAAAAAAGCCCGTGCTTCTTAGTGAAATGTCACTTGTTAGTTAGTTTTGTCTCATTTGAAATGACTAAAAACACATATTTGTGTTTTTGCAGTGTGTTATTTCTGGAGAGCACCATAAAAACTACATAGATCCATTCAGCCACTCTGGCTGGTTGTCTGCATCAACAAATACTTATAACCACCTACACTCTCATAACAGGACCAACCGACCTTCTTTCTGAGATATTTAGCTGCTTAAACTCACTGGACTTGAAGGTTTGTCTTATTTATCATTTTCTCAGAAAATTATTTCAACTTTATATCTCACTTTGCGTTTTATTGTAGCACAAAACATAAGTAGATTTCCAGAGATGTCAAACAATAATTCCTTGAACTGGAATTGAACGTTTCAGCGCAGAGTGATATTCACAAGCACGCAAAGTGGAATCCACTTTGGTGGTTCCCTGGGTGAGGTTAGAGTTCAGTTGTGCTTGAAAGCGGACGACTCAGCAGTCCTCTTTGAGAGGAGCCAGCAGAACTTGTGTAAAACTGACAGACTAAAAGCAGAAATGAGACGTGGACTCTGAACGCAGCAGTCTATAGGTTTACATGCTCTCTCCAGCTGCTCATCATTTTAGGGAAACTGATTTTCATTAGCAAGAGGCTGGTTTAAAGAAAGTCATAAAAATACATTTTTAATAAATTTACTCCCATTTATGACGTTTGCATATCACTTTCAAAGTCAGTGAAATCCATTTTCTTCTCTGTATTGACACACACTGTTTCTACAAGTAACTGACTGGCTGGTTATGTTGACAGGCAATTGAACAGATGTACTTAATAAAATGGTTGACAGATTGTGTGTCTTTTTATCAACATCAATTCCTGTTGTAACAGGAATGATTGCTTCTTTATTTTTTAAAGAAAACATACAGTAAATGAGCCACTTCCTTATTGGAAGCACATCCATGTGTTTCTGTGGGTTTTAATCTTGTTCATACTGAAATTTATCAGGTTTCTTGAAACTGACAGATTTTCTTATGGAATTTCTCAAAATGATCCATTGACTGGTTAAGGATACTTAACCTGAGAATGGAGAAGAAAGAGAAAGCGTAAGGCTACATTGTAAAGCCTTAACTCTTAGGATCTCATTCTTGCTGCTGTTGTCAACAACTCTTGAGGTTACATTATTTTTGAAAATTATAGGTTAGCCTGGCATAAACAATAGGCTCAGTTTGGGAAGGAGGACTGTCTCTTGTGCCCATCTTGGAAATGAATAAGCTGTTTCATAACATGACCTTTTAAACAAGCTGAACGATTTATTAAGTTTCTAGCGTGTCCTATAATCTTGACACTGTTTTTTTTTCCGTCTGGTGGCGTTTCATGGTCTTCTTCTTTCGGCTGCTCCGTTTTGAGGTCAAAACAAACGACCATCCATCTCCATCCTGTCTACACACAGTTGCATCAGCCCTCCATCAACTGAACATTCTTTTGTCACTGTTTAGCCAACATGTGAATTTGGGACCCATATGTGCAAACGCTGGAACAGAGCCATGAAAGGCAAAACAAATTAGACTCTACATAAAGGTCTTTAGTAGGCATTAAGAAACTCAGTTCAAACAGAGCAACACACAGGCAACATATAAATCTCCTGGTTTAGCCAAACATTGTCCTGCATCAAACCTGCACTTTGCTGCTGAAGGCATTTGCTCGTCTGGTTTCACACACTTTTGAACTTGATGTACTTCACATAAAGTCTAACATGATATCGGCCAATCCTTTTCAGTTGACACAGCTTCAGTCCTTCTGGGAGTGTTTTCCACAAGGTTTCAGAAAGTGATTATGGGAATGTTTTATGATTCTTCCAGAAGAATATTTGTGAAGTCAGACATTGAAGGTCTGCCTCACAGTCTCTGTTCTGATTCCTCCTGAAGGTTTTAGTTATGTCAGGTTTAGGTCAGAAGTCTTGCACTGACCTAAACTGCACTGAAAATGAAAAGAGTAGAACCAACTTAATTGAACTGCTTCAATTGGTATCTAGTAATTCAATTAAGTTTACCAGTTTAACTTGAAATAAAACATTCAGTTTACTTCAAATAAAGATGTAAGCTAATAAAGGATCTTCTTTTGGCTCAAAGAGCCTTTATTTGAGAGTAGTTAGAAAGGAAACTGGGTAATGACAGAGAGGGAAGACATGCAGCACAGATCATCAGGCTGGAAGTGAACCTGCGGCGGCTACGTCAAGGACTGAGGTCTCCTTATGTGGGTTGTGCTCAACCCCTGCACCACCACAGCATCCTGGTTAGTACAGGGTCTGTCCCTGGTGAAGCTTGAATCATGAAGTCAGATATATGCAGTATTGAACTTAATTGTTTCAAGTAAAGTCAAGGTAAAAAGTTCCATTCAAGTTTAAAAAAAATTGTAACTTTCAAGTTAATCTGACACGTTTTTAAGTTCATTCAACACAAAAAAGTAAGTTGTCATCACTAAACCAAAAGAATTCTGGAGCTCTGCTTGACTGACGAGGTGATTGCTAATCTTCTGTCTTGGTCAAATTCGACCTGACTTCTCGACCCTCTCCTTCTGTCTCCTGTCCCTGTCATTTCCAGTGAGCAGTTCTTCTGTCTGTGCTGAGTAAGACCCCAAAATCCTGCTAACCGTCTCACCAGACAAAAGAAAGGGACGTGGGAGGAGTGGAGATGAGAGTACGAAGCAGAAACACACGGAGCTGAAGTGAGTCACAGCGGGAGGCTGTCATAAGAGGAAATAAGAGGGGGCTCAGCAGAAACCCCAAATTTTCTTCCTGGTGTTCCCCTCCTCCCCTGTGTGGCAGCAGAATGTAGGTCTGTGCTCGCCTACAGCCATCAACAACAATCAGTTCTGCCCCAGTTACTGGAGCGTCTCATCGTCTAAACATGCATACGTCACGACACGGAGAAATACACACAGGCAGATGCACTGTGACGAGTTTTCAATATGCTTCCAGACACACACACATACACACACCGACATACACGCCCACATAACACAACCACAAAACACCTGCACAGACATATGTAAACATTTGAACATGGTCATGTTTTCACAGTTTTAATCCAATAAGGATGAGGCTAACCTCACTTAGCTTCTCTCAGGTTTACAGTGACGATTTAAAGCTCTTACAACTGGACAGCCTCACTTCACCGTCCAATTGAATTTGATGTGTCCTTTTTCTGTCTTATTGCCAGTGTTTTCTGCTGTTGCTCCAAAAATAGGGCAGATACTGTGTTAGTCAGACTTTCCTCAAGAGAAAGCTGTCAACACATCAGGGCGAAGCAAGCATGAATTTATCAAAAAGTATCCCATGGGCAATATGGATGGCCCAAAGCATGTTCTACTGGGTGTTCACAGTCAGCACCAGTTCCAGGTCACCTGCTGGTTGCATCCAAACAAAGCACTTTAGATCAGCCATGTGAGGTAAATGTTGGTTGTGTCAGAACATATTTGGCCAATGTGTTTCCATCTCCCCTTCAGCGCATTGAGAGAGGAGGGTTTGTTTGAAAAGCTAAAGGTCAGGACGACTGACCCCTTGAAAAAGCAGTAAAAAAATTACATTTTTAAAAGGCTAATTACAAAAATTTCAGTGAATTTCTACAAATTCCACTGATAGCCATTTAATTATTTCTATATTAGATAGAATCTTTCATATTTTTTTTCCATCAGTCAAGAAAAATAACTATTTGGCCACTATAATGAAAGCTGACAACACGTTCTTATGTGAGTCACTTTAATCACAACTGTCATCCATGTTGGGTTTACATTCCTCTGAATGTACCATAGTGAAGAGACTCGTCATACTCATATTTTAGGAAAGTAGAAGCAAAAAAAAAAGTGCCTTTTTTTATATCCTTATTCATAATTTTGGGTTGTTGTCATGAACAGAAAATGACAGAAGGACAGAGCCTTGGATTACAGCATCACACCATGAACCCTTGCGTTTAACAAAAAATAAAACAACACCACATCACCAGTGAATACAAATCAGCAGCAAATCTGAACTGATTTGTTCAGAATCATGGCAGACACAGAGGCTGCTAAGCAGAAAGGCAGACGTGTTGTATCCCAGGGGAGCTGATTAGGGTACGACATGTCAGACACTCCCCTCAGTTCGTCACCATGTGCCATGCCAACATCAGTGCTTCTGTGTCTATAGATCAGACTCTCTGCTCATATGTGAAGCAAAAATATTTCCTCCCTGCACTTGGTTATGGTGTTACCATTCCCTTATTCAGTTTGATGAATAATTCATGAACTGGATTTGGTGCAGCACTTCAATCTTTACATTTTGGAATCAAGTACATAGGGGGGAAATGTGTATATCCACACACTTATCATGCAGTCTTTAGCTGGTTTTCTGTCTACATGGTATTCAAATTAGAGAGTCACATGTAACAACGTACTAAATCCAACTATCCATCCATTTTTTAAAAGTTTTTTTTTTCCAATTATTTTAGCAGGGTGTTCTTTGACAATTTTTGAGGCAGACATGGCCAAGAGGTACAACATATTGGCTGTTTGAAACAACCAATATGTTTTGGCCATCTTACTGTTAATTTTACTGGAAGTTCAAAAAGAAGGAAGTTGTTCCATTTACAACTTAATGTACCATCAGTTTTTTTGGAGAACACCAATATCAGTGCAGTGACAGATAACCTCTGCATGAGAAAAACAAACCCACCACTATGCTACAAAGTTAGCACAGTATTCTGATGTTTGAAAGCCTCACCTTGACACCTAAAAATGCATTTAATATTTTTTTTCCTGAATTGGCATCCATGTTGATGTTAAACCTGACCATAGACAGTATTGCTGGTATTCCACCATGTTCCAACTGATTACTCAGATGGGTCTTTCTGGTTTCTTGATGGCTCCTGATGATTGTAGCCAATTTTCTTTCATCTAAAGCTGGCAGATTGGGTACGAAGATAGAAACTTGGTACAACTTGGAACAATGATTCCAAAACAGCCTAATGTTAAGCATCTGGCATTTCCCCAGTCCATGCCAGCAAAACAAGGAACCTAAACTGGATCAATACCAGGCACTGCACCTCAACTGTTGATAGTCCCGTCCCTTCAGAGTGTGTCTGATCACTCTAAGACATACAGTACAGAGTTCTGGCAAAGCAATGGTAATTTAATACTCCTACACAATCCCATGCTGTCAAAAGACAACTGGAAGCGTTCGATAGATGAACTCCCAGAGAGCAGACTCAGCCAATTTATATTCAGTTCGTCAAAGGTAACAAAAGGTAAGGACTGCACAGAATGTCTTCTTTCATTCAGACACGTTTTCTGCTGAGTGGCCCAGATTCATCACACCGTCTGGGTGCAGCACATCAGCACAGCCTCTGATCAAAGAGCAGAGAGGAAAGGCAGAAAATGTGCCAAGACTAGAGAGAGAGAGAAAGAGCAGAAAATAAAACTAAAAACAGAGTCAAAAAGGGAAGTTTGGGGGAAAACATATCGGCCGTGTAGAAGAACATTTGAAAGTTGAAGAAAAGAGTGACAAGGATAGAGATGGATGTCAGAGGAAGAGGCTATGGGAGGATGGTGAAAGCACCGCTGGGAGCCTGATGATCTGTGGGAGAACTAAGCGCTTTCATTTTTAAACACACCGTCCTCAGAGTTCACGCTTTGCGGCTACAAAGAGAGTCCAAAGAGATGGGTTCTTAATCGCTTTCAGAAGTTCTGAGTTTGGTCTTGATTACATGTTCATAGAACCGGAAAATGTCAGACCCTACACATGAAAGCCACAAGCAGTAAGACAGGAATTTGCCAGTTTTACAGCTGTGCCACAAAAATATGCCTATTAAACTGTTTATATTCAAAAATGTAAACCATATAAAGATTATCAGGAATCCTCTCCTGTCTCCAAATGTTCCCATTCTTTACCCATGGTGTCAAAACAAGGATATGATTTTGCAGTGGAAATGTAAACTTGGCTAAATAAAACATATGGGAAAAACTCAAAGAATTAAGCTGTAACAAAGAATGTTTTAACTGGAAAGACTCACATTTAATGACATGTGGGTCGTTGTCGCCATGCATGAAGTACATGCAGCATGTGAGAACTTTGAGCCTCCCACAGCTGAGACCTCCTTACTTAAAATGTTTGTGATAGTTTAGCTCTGCCCTCTAGTGATCAGTTTATGCAAAAACAAACTACTGAGGTTTGATTAGGTTTTCATTTTACTGCTCTGTTGTATTTTATGGGGTCACGTGATTTAGATGAAGGGAAACTTTAGAATAACTTGTCTCCAAAGACAACCTGACACTCAGATGTTTGCTTCAGAAGAATTGTTTCACTTTGTTTAGGTGAGTTCCTAAATCTACTTCACGACTTTAAATAAATTTTACTGGCAAGCAATAAAGGCTCAACCACAACATATTGACATTTTACGAGAAAGTATTAAAAACAAGAATCTCCTGTTTGCTGAGAAATAATGTTTCAGTCTGATCTGCTGGTGTTTCAATTCTTTCCACACAGCCAATGTTTTGTGGGTTTCCATTTAAGCATGTCTAGTGTGGAGGAAATCCCAATAACAGTAAGTGATGATAAGGTAAAAAAACAAAAACAAACAAACAAACAACAACAAAAACATACAAATACTTATAGTAAAAGCAGTAATAATTTAAAATGATAAACATTTTTGATAAAGTCTGCAACAGCATAATATTTAGGAACGCCAACAAGCTGACACGACACTGAATTAATTGCGATAAGCCCTAGTATCCAGCCAATCCCTCACTAGCTTAATACCCTAATTGCCAATCACAACAATGCAACCCTCCCACATTTTGCTACTTTTCTTTCAAGCACTCTGAAGCTGACCATGGTGAAATAATTCTTAAGTTATCGGGCGCTTATGGCTCCAGTGGCTCTTACCCAATCAGAAGACAAGAATCCAACCCCGTTCTGAGTCTGACACAATCTCATTGGTTTATTATCCAAACGTAATGGCCTTATGGGCGGAGCCTGTGACGCTACGTCCAGTTCCGTCTAGCGGTTAGCAGGGAGGCTGTAGTCCAGTCTGACTCTGTAGGAAGGAGCACAGCAGGCTGTCTTTTATACCCATACTTACAGCACAAAGGTGAGTGAGCAACCGAACAATACAGCATCTGTACCACATGTTTTCCACTGTATTTTACACCGGTATGCATTTATAAAGGTGCTTCTCTATGACGTGCTGCTGACGGTCAGCTGTATAAATTCGACTTCACTAAACAAAAAATTGCGCGTGCACAAACAAATAAAGAACGAGCCATAAAGCTCCTGCCTCGCATATAAAATAAATGGTGTTTGCTGAGCATTACGAAACCTGTCTCCCCTCCCTCGCTCTGTCAATGCAAAGACAAGAAGCGACAAGGACGAGTCATTTCCCCTTCTATTTATTATTGTATTATACAGATTTAATTACAGTGAAACAGTTTATTGGTTTGTTGCTCTTTGTCTGTAGTCTGACCTATATTCACTGGTTTCAAGGTGCGCCTTGCTCGATCGTTTCCTAATGTATTAACTCAGGACACATTAGGACTCCGCCTGCTGTCTTTAGTTCCACTTTATGACCCTCATCCTGTGAACAGAGATGTTTACCATTACACCACACAGACCTTTAAACTCACTTAACATATCCTGTGGATATTTTTAAAGGTAATTCAATGAAAAATGAAGTTGAAAAGCAGTTATTTTTCTTTTATTTGTTTGTTATTTGGTTTATTTAAAAGACACAATCCATTTGAATTCAGATGGTCATTTCCATCTGCAGTCCCTGGCTAATATAGCAAGAGTGCAACATTAAACCTCATGATTCAATAAATCACAAAAGTAGTAAATAACATAAAGTACTTCCAGTACTTTATGTGCACAGTTATAATGATATAGTTATAATGACAACAAAGGGGAGCTGCTCTAAATGAGGCCCAGGTTTTGTAAGTGTGTTATACTTTATTGACATTTTTTGGTTGAACACCTGATTGTCACTGATTGCACACAAAGTACAGGACACTTCTGCAAGATGGATCCTAAACCTGATAATGTGATTCTCTCAGCAGAGGTGAAGGCTGCAGAGACCATGAAGTCCACCAGGAGGCGCCCTCAGCACCATGCCAATGGAAAAACGTCTGAAGCTGTGGAGAAGTCAGCACAGTGGGGAAGAGCATGGTGAGTAGCTCAAGCTGTACAGACTTATTTGTTCAAAAAGAGGAAAAAATCCATTGACTTGTCCTATTTTGTGATTCGAGGAGGTTTTACCTTATGAAATAGTTTCACAAAAGAAACACCTGATAAAATCCAGTTATGTGAAATGGTCCTGCAAAAATACAAATTACTCCTGAGCTATAATCCTTATGCTTGATTAACTGATATAACATGACTTTATGTCATATTATAAAGACAAACTTAAATAGATTTTATTTGATAAATAAAAACAAAATAGGGTCTTAATGTTTCAAGGAAAGAATGTAATATATGCATATATCAGCGTTATCCTACCATTAAACCCAAGAAGATCACGACATTTGGGGGCGCCAAGCCACACCTCTTGCGCTTATCACAAGATTTCAAAATTACCAAAGTTATCAAAAGCAGGTTGAAAAGACGCACTTCTACTCTGTGTCACCGATGCTCACACATGATCAGGCAGCTGCGTTCACCTGTGGAGAAAACACACATGGCAGTCATGGCTGTTATGACATGCTAACAGCTCAGTTCTTATGCAGTTCTCATGTGATTTTGCAGCTTCTTTTTAAATCTTTGTCTGGGTGTGTGGTTAAAAACCCAGGCAATATGTAATGATAGTTTTTATGATTAGTGTAAGAGCCATATGAATGAAATGAATCATTATTGAAGTGACAGAAGCACACAGCTTTGACACTTGGGTGGTGGGTGTGTTGAGGTGGGCGTGACTGTTGCTTAGGTACCAATGGGAGCCATACTGGTGTGCTAGCTTTGTGTGTATGAGGAAGTACGTGTTTGAAATTCCCCAAGTTAACCCAGAGGGGCTCTCTACAACACCATTAGTTTGCCGCACATGAAATTATTTTATTTATATATATATATATATATATATATATATATATATAATATATATATATATATATATATATATATATATATATATATATATATATATATATGTATATATATATATATATATATATATTTTTTTTTTATTAATTTTTTTTTTTATTTTTTTTTTTACAGTAGTTATAGTTGAAACATTACATACCTCTGCATGTAGAAAATCCTCTGACCTTCTGTGTTTCCGATCCATTCCCAGGGAGGTGGACTGGTTTTCCCTGATCAGTGTCATCAGCCTCCTTTGCTTCGCTCCCTTCATCGTATTTTACTTTGTGATGGCCTGCGATCAGTATGAGTGCTCCATCAGCCAGCCTCTGTTAGAGCTGTTCCAAGGAAAGGCAACCTTGCAGTCCATCTGGGCCCGGGCCCCCTCCTTCACATGGACTGCTGCTAAGATATATGCCATCTGGGTGAGCTTTCAGGTAAGTAGAGGAGGGATCAGATGTTGCGTCACACAGGAGCTTTACATTTTCTTCAAACTGAAATGAAGCGCCTTGCTCTTCAGGTTTTCCTCTACATGTGCATTCCTGATGTCACCCATAAGTTTATTCCGGGCTACGTGGGTGGAGTGCAGGATGGAGCTCGGACCCCTGCTGGTATATGCTTCCTACTTCCCTGAAACAGTTGTGAAAGTAATGTCTTATCTCTCCTTATATTTGTTTTCTTCTTCTTCTCCTAAGGTTTTATTAACAAGTATGAGATCAACGGGCTGCAGTGTTGGATCATCACCCATGCTCTGTGGTTTGCAAACGCCAATTATTTCCACTGGTTTTCTCCTACTATTATATTTGACAATTGGATCCCCCTGTTATGGTGTACTAATATACTGGGCTATGCTGTGTCTACCTTTGCCTTTGTAAAGGCCTACATGTTCCCCACTAATGCTGAGGACTGGTAAGATCAGCTTCTGAACTCCACATTATCTCGGGTATTATAAAGACAACACAATGTTTACCCACTTGCTTTCTTTCTCACTTCACAGCAAATTTACAGGGAACATATTTTATAACTACATGATGGGGATAGAGTTCAACCCTCGCATCGGGAAGTGGTTCGACTTCAAGCTATTCTTCAATGGCAGACCTGGCATCATTGCCTGGACCCTGATTAATCTGTCTTACATGGCCAAGCAGCAAGAGCTGTACGGTCACGTCACCAACTCCATGATTCTGGTCAATGTGCTGCAGGTACGATGGGAAGATCAGGTTCTTAAAGCTGCAGTATGTAACTTTGTAAAAAAAAAAATAGGGTTTTACATATTTGTCAAAACTGTTACTTTGTTGTGGAAAAAAAGAAAATCAGACTCATATTTTCTAACTAGAAAGCAGACAGAGCCAGGGGGTGGGCCTTAGCGCTGTCAATCACCTTCAGTGTGGAGCTACTCATCCCTGTTATGTTTAAATTAGGTGAATTTATTGCCAGATCACATTGTATCAAACCTGATCATGTCACATGAATGATGTAGAATAGATTTTATTTATTTGATAATTTATTATCATTATAGAACCAAACCCAGGACAAGTTTCCCTTTCAGCTTGTTGTATTTTTCTATATGATTTATTCAGTTCTAAACTAAGTTAATGTATTACTTGTGGCTGAAATTAATGTCAGTGGCAAAATCTGTTTGTTGCCTCACAGGGGATTTATGTGCTGGATTTCTTCTGGAATGAGGCATGGTACCTGAAGACCATTGATATCTGCCATGACCACTTTGGGTGGTATCTGGGCTGGGGGGACTGTGTGTGGCTGCCGTACCTCTACACCCTGCAGGTAACACACACAAGCACACACACACACAACAAAGTGTCCATGCCACGCTAAATGGTTAATATTTTGTGAAAAGGTTTTTCACCTGCAATAAGTCAACTAGAAAAGTGTCAGAAAGCATCTGATAATCAAGAGTTGCAACACAAGGCCTGTGACAATGACACATTTTGCTGGGTGATTTATTGTCCCAGAAATTATTGTGATAATTGCCATTTGTTTAACGGCAATTATTACTATTGTTTGAAGACCATTGTTAATCTTATAAAAATGACCTATTAGGCAATGACAATTAGATAAAATTGTAATTTTTATCTAATTGCCCTTTTAAGGAAACTGTCTTAGTTTGCTCTATGTTGCACTCTCCCTCAATATTTTTGCATTGTACCTGATCTAGAATTTTCTTCAGTTCTAGGTCAGATACAGATATTAATATCGGATTGGTGCATCTCTAATATTTAGGGACTTTTCAGACAGTCAAAATGTAATGGCTATAATCAGAATAAGGAGGTCCAGCTTTTTAAAGGTTAGTAATACCATTCATTGGTAAAATTCCATTGAGTGGTCTCTTTTTTTCCCCATCTTTCTTCTAGTTGTTACAGCTTTCCCTCGAAATAGATTTAGATTATAACAAAGGAACTCCATAAGATACTTGGTGTATCTTATGGGGTTCCTTATTGGGTCTGCTCTGTATTATAGAAAAATACAGAGCAGACCTGCAAGAAATCCTGATTGAGTTTCTGGACAGAACTACCATGTGATGCTGCAGCCCTCACTGCAGTGATCTCTGAGCTGTGATATGTGAAAATATTCATAGCTTAACAATAGTTTATATGCATTGTACATGAAAGCTGACTTGCACTGACTGATCTTTCTTGTGGCTGAAAGCCTTAGACAGTTGATGTGTTGATGTGTTTCTGGTTCTTAGGGCCTGTACCTTGTGTACCATCCGGTCCAGCTATCAGACAGTCACGCCGTCGCTGTACTGTTGCTCGGACTCGTTGGTTATTACATTTTTCGCTCCACCAACCATCAGAAAGATCTGTTCCGCCGCACGGAGGGTTCCTGCTCCATCTGGGGGCGTAAGCCCTCCTACATCGAGTGTTCGTACCTGTCCGCTGACGGACGCAGCCACTGCAGCAAGCTTCTGACCTCGGGGTTCTGGGGAGTGGCGCGTCACTTCAACTACACTGGTGACCTGATGGGTTCCTTGGCTTACTGTGCCGCCTGTGGCTTTGGCCACATTCTTCCATACTTCTACATTGTTTACATGACCATCCTGCTGGTCCACCGCTGTGTGCGAGACGAACACCGATGCAGCAGCAAGTACGGGAAAGACTGGATACGTTACACCGACACAGTGCCTTACAGGCTGATTCCTGGACTGTTTTAAAGAGAGGCAGAGGAAGAGCTGGGAACGCTGGTGAAATGACGAATGCTTGGTTAAACGAGATAAGCGTTGCTCCTCCCACTGAACATTCTCCTCTGAATTTCAGACTTCACTGCAAACTCATCCCTGCAGCCCTCTGCCAAAAAAATACAGTTGATAGTTTTTGGTTTCCATGAAATGACAGTGTGCCATCTTGCAGGACATTTGATAAAAAAAATGTATTTTTTCAAAAACAGCCTCAGCAATCATCAGAAACAAAGTTACTTGTTTAAAACACCGAACAGCATGTTCTGCAAAGTAAGGGATACTGCCCCTGGGGAGGTAAGGAGCCATTGTGATTGCAGTTTACTAATTTGTATTTGTGAACAAACAGAGCTCAGTCTCAAAGATTAAACTCAGAGCATCAGATTGTAGCTATGGTAATAAAACAATATAACTGAAATTTATTCTTTGAACTTTTACAAAGTAAACTTGCCAGCTTGACAAGGTGGGGGTGTGTGTGTTAAATGTCCTGAGGATAAAAGGACTTACAGGTTATCTAATGGTCCCATTGAATAACATCAAAGTTTTGAGGATGACAGTTTTCTCAACCAAATATCTTCTCAATGCCAGTGTTGGATCTAACTTAATTATCCTCCTGCAGTCTGGAAAAGTTGAGTCTCATTGATGAGAATCCTCCACATTATGTAAGTCATAAACTGTTATGACTTACATAATGTGGAGGATTCTCAGTTTTTGTGAACTCAGTAACTGTACTGAGTTCACAAAAACTCAATCAAAATTCATCCACATTCCAGCTCCAAGGAAATGTTTTTTTTTTCTTTTAAACAAAGTATGTTTCCTGTATTTTATAATTTCTCAGACTGACATTGCAACCATCCAGCAATAAACTAAAAACAGAACTTTAAAGTTTAGTGATGATTTTACTTTGTTTTGACACACTATCATTAAGGAAATCTAATAAACAATGTCCAGGCTTTTTTTTGTTAGACTGACATTATTATGGCATAAAGTCAGTGTCTTTGTCATATTTAGTATTAACACTAGAGGGCAGCAGATAACTTTTCTTCAAAACGAAATGGCTTTTTTTTCATAAATGTGCAACAGTTATAAATGTATAAAAATAATTTAGAGCTTGTTAATGCTGCTCTTTAATTGACTCATCCTACAATTAATACACTGTTATACCATAAAATGAGTGAAGGACTAACAAAAAGCATTTTAAAAGGCTGCATGATTAGATTTCTGTTCCTATACATAATAGAGATCAGAAGTGGAAAAAAATGGTTTCTGATGTACACCGTTTAAAACATGTTTTTTGTTAGTTTATTAAAATCCAGGCTTGTTATAGTTATGCAAGTAGTTTTGCTTGCAATGATCATAAGAGTTTAGAACATCCCCCTCTGGTGGCCATCTTGTAAGCAGTGATACTGAGTGAAATTAAATACAAGGTTAAATGCATGACAGTAGGTCTAAAGACGAAAGGTAACCAGACACAATGCAATGGAAATAGAAATTTGGACCCAGAATGAGAACCAAACCAGGTAAGGTTTAATGAGTTTTATGGACAGTTACTGCATCATCGGCACGGCTTTCTGGACAGATTATGTAAAGAGGAAAGGTTTGTTCAAATTCAAAAATACTTTATTGATCCCAAAGGTAAATTAAATGAGTGTCAAGTTATGATGAGTGATGGGCAACAGGAAGTACTGTCCAATCAGCAAATGAATACTTACCCAACAGAAGTGGTTCCCACCATCTGTTTGGAGAGTCGGACCACGACAGATTTGAATCCTCTGTGATGTAACAGTGAAGGAGTAGAAAGTGTCCTTTTTCGGGGGATTGTTTCACTCATGGAAATACTGATACCAGGGTGAGTAAGTTGACACGCACTAATGCTATGAGCAGAACTCACCATGGGAAAGGCATGGCTGTCAGGAGGCAAAACAGATCAAGGAACTGACGCTGTAATCAAAGTCAAGGTGTGAGGAGCAAGTTTCAGAGTATCTCAAAAGTATCTTTGTGACACGTTTGCCCTGAGTGAGTGTGGTGCAGGAGTCCTCAAATCCAGGCCAGAGTTGGTGTCCTACAGCTTCTACATGTATCCTTGGTCCAACACACCTGAATCAGGTGGCTTATATACCTCCTCCCTGTAGTCATGTTCTCTGCCTCAGGTATTTAGAGGCAGAGACAACGAAAGGTTGCAGGACCCCAGCAGGACCCCAGCTCTCCAGGCCTGGATTTGAGGTCCCCTGTTATACACAGCAGAGTTAGGAGGGGTTGGAGAAGATCATGACAGACAATCCTTACTGGACTCATTAGGTTGATTCAATCTGATGGGATTGCAGTTTGGGTATGCATGAGGCTAGGTCTGGCAATTGCTCGGCATTTGTCCAGATGCTACCTGACTGTGGGCGCTCTCACGTACTCATCAGTCCCGACATCAGCTTGCTGCAGCATCTCTCAAGTCCCATCGTGTTGAAAATGTTCACAATAAAAGTACACAAGCCTTATGCATACGCAAAATGGAACTGCTGTCAAACTCTGTCAAGTTGTGGGTTGTGTCTGGTGACCTTTACTCACTGTTTTGATTTACTGTTAAATCTCCCAGTATTTGTATTATTGACTGATGATGTCAGAGTGTTTGCTCTCATTTGCCTGTTCATAATATGCCAGGTAGATGTTCTTACAAATCCTTAACTTGTTGCTAAACTTTTTTCTTTTGCCAGCGTGTGCACATTGCAACTATTACATAAAACCTGTAAATGACTCTCACACCACAGCAGTGAGAGTTAAATCTCTTCAAACTACAAACTCACCCCCAAAATATTGTTTTTTTAAAGATACCTCCTAATGATCCGTCATACCTGGCAGCTTATTCTGCTCTGTCAGCGCAATACAGGCCTGTATCCTGGAGCTCAAACCGTCAGCAGCTTTCTTCCCAGTATCATGACACATTATGGATGTAAATTAGTTATGAAGCAGAAGGCGTATTGATTCCTCTTACCTGCGTTCAAGCTAACGCCATTTGCAGCTGATTCATTATATTGCATTATGTAGAGCCAAATTGCCTTTGATTGTTGTCTCAGGCCAACCGATTGCAACCGAAGACGAGGAAGAGTTGCCCGTGTCTGGGTTCACTCATTGTCAAATTGACAAACAGCTCACTGTGAATGGAATGGAAATCTAGAGATCTTTATGCGATGACACTAAAAGCTAGACTATTGAATTTTCCAAAGGGCGGATCATTCACCCATCCATATAAACGTCCAGTGTACACAGTAACCATATTGTCGGAGCGCCCCTCAATTTTGCAGCTGGACATTTTTCTTTAGTGAAGGGCAGTTGGGGGTCACAGAGTGGGAAGAAACTGTAGCACAGCGAGGAGTGGGAATGAATGACACAGATACTGAGAGGCGACGGCAGAGAGGGGAAAGCAGAAGGAGAAATAAAGTACGCTCAGTGGGACACTTGGAGCTGGTGCCACTCCTCGACAAAAGTTGGCTTGATTTCCCAAAAGACTAAATTAGTTTTTATTGGCAGCTGGGGTGTGTACGTTACTGCTGGGTAATAGTTATAAGGTACAGAGAGGAAAGTGGTTGATTCGTCAGCAAACTGCAGTCACTGATAATTCATATGAACCCAGCAGAGTGTTTCAGCCCACAGTGGGGATATAATCACACTGTGGCTGCTGAGGTTAGATTGACTAGCTGATTGCAGTCGGTAGCAGAGGAGTCATTTTAACCATCATAGCTTTGATTTCTTTTACTTTGGATTGGATGGTTTCACTTCACCAGTCGCATTTCCTCGTTTCTTGTTCCTCAACACACAAATATGAAAAATAAAGCTTCCCTTTGGAGCTCCAAATTCTTACTGAGTCAATAGTCTTTCTAGGCTAATTAAACGCTGGCATAGGCTTTGAAACTTTAAATATTTTATTCATTTTATAAGTTTCAAACAATGTCTAACAAGGTAACAATCTATTAAGACTTCAAAAATCCAGATTTACTTTACTTGGGTAAAGTGTCATCCTTTTTCAGAAAATTTTTCAGAATTAAATATGACAATGCACATTACATTGATTATGCAAAACATGCCTGCAACTTTCCAATTATTTAAATACTTTGTGCACCATTAATAGTTGTCTCCATGCCAGTTTTAACATTTAAATTCTATTAATTAATGACATTGATTTTAACTCCTTAAAAAGATTATCGCAATACTTCATATAATGGCTTCAGGCCGTACATACTTTGTTTTCATGTGTTACTTTATTCAATAACTTATCAGCAAAAAAGGGTTTTGAATTGAACATTTTGTAGATTAAGTTGTGATTCATTTTGATTAATCAATTACAGACCTCACAATTAACTCCATTAAAACATTTTTAATCTGGTCCTACCTCTAAATATTCAATTTAGAGGTAGGACCAGAGGATGTCAGTAGTTCTTGTTTTTTACATTGGGCCAGATCAGAGGATTCTTTTTAATAAATGAAATTATCAGATGTGTAACAAATCCGCAAGTAAAAGCAGAAAGAGATTGAACCTTAAAAAGGGCAAACACTTTTTAACTGGAATATTGTAGACGGTCCACACACAACAACATGGCCGCCGAAAAGCTTTCAGTCCAACTGCCTCAATTTTTCCTTATTTTTCTGAGCGAACAGGGATAAAGCAGCGTGTTCTACATTATGAAGCAGGAACTAAATTGAGAAAAGGAGTTTATGAAAATAAGGTGATAAAATCCTCCGAGAGAAAGACAAATCAAAAAGGATTAGGAGACGAAGCATTTCTGATTTCTCAGATTTCAGCTCAAATCCACAGCAAATAAGATAAATAAAAAAAATGATTGTTTGGAGATTATACGGCTTAAAACAATCCCACTGGTTTTACAGTGTGGGGGCAGCTGTAAAACCAGCATGAGCTCAGCCAACAAATTGCCTTTAATTAACATGCTTGGTGTAAAAAAAAAAAAAAAAAAAAAAAAAAAAGCCAGGGGCCTCCTGCTGCTGCTCCTGTGTTCACAGTCAGACAATCAAACAGTGTCCAAGTGTTGAGCCAAACTCAGTACGGCAAAACTGCAGAAGAAAGTAAATATCAAAAAATAACGGCAGCACCTGAAATGTTCGCAATTTGAATTCAGAACAACAAAACATAAACAACTGCAATAAAAACGAAACAGCACACAATGTCTGCCACTTGGTTTCCAAGCATCATAGTTAAATGTGAAGCAGGTGTTTACTTTCCATCAGGAGGGGATTTTTCGGGGGGAAATGTTTGTTTGCTGTGGAGACAGAGCGTTATACAGGGAGTGTTTGTGGCAGAGCTGTCTGAGTGACAGCCAGCTGTCCAGGGTAAAGGATGGTAAACTGGCATTGAAACCAGCAGCGCCTCTCTGACCAGATTTTTAATAGACCCAGAATCCAAGAGGGAAATTTGTTTGGCACAAAAGCGGCACGGTCATTATCGTAATTTTTATTGCTGTAAGAACGAGGCAGATGATGGGAGTCCAAGGTAATGTCTGTATTAAAAATATCATTTATGCCAGGTGGCATCTTCAATTATTCATCAACGAAGGTGCAGTGTAATCTGAAGAACAGGGCTGATGATTCAACTTTATGAATGCACTTCCAACACTGACTGAGCTCTACCATCAGCCTCATGTTGTCTGTATGATGTAGAAAACAGGATTAGAGATGGATTGATACAGAACTCTTAATTAAAGTTGAAAAACAGAACAAAAAAACTGAATGCGATAAAATGTCCAAGGGATATAAAAAACAGTTTTATTATTTTTCAGAGCATTTCCTCAATGTTTTTATGTCAACAGCAATTGCTTTAAGGAATCAATCTGATCTGGCAGCATCCTCCGTTTTCAGGTTTTATTGGTCTGTGTGTTTTTTATTGTTTTACCTCCTTAACATTTTATCCCCAAAAGCTTTTAACATGGATTTTACAGTTCTTACATTGGCTGGTTTT